GGAGACGTGGGTAAGCAGCGCTCACGGCACCCATCACCCTGGATACCTAGTCACTGTCCCTACCCCACCGGGGTGCCTGTGTCTGCGGTGTGTGGGCTCCCTTAACAGTTACTCTGCTCAATTTTGGTCACCGAGGAGCCTGGTCTGAATTCTAGTTTATCATGTGACACCTTGCTGTCAACATTCCCCACGGATTCTCTTGTGACTCAAGACATTAACCAAGCAGCTATCATCTTCCTGTCTATCCTGGGGCACTGGGCACGTCTGACTGTGGCTGGTCCCTGGTGCACATCCCAAGGCAGAGCTGTTTCCAACAGTCACAGACCAGTGAATCCATGAACCCCCGGAGGATGCTCACGTGTGGTCAGAGATGGCGTGGCTTCCCCAGCCCAGTCTCCCGCACTTCTTCCCCCTTCATCCATCCCAGGGCCAGTGAGCGCGGGCTGCCAACTCCAGCAGCGGTTCATGACTCATTCGAATCCACAGCCAGTGCCAGTGTGGGCCGATGGCCACTGGGCAGCCATGAGCTCTGGGGCCAGAACCACGAGGAGCTCCTCCACACAGGCCTTTATTAATGCTTTGTTTACCTGGAGAGGAAAGGACAGGGGAAAGGGAAGGAGCCACTCTGCTGTTTTATCCATTTATTATATACAATATTAAGGCACAAGTTTAAGCAGCAAAGGATAGGAAAATCTTTGGCTGACCGACGGTATCCATATTCATGGGGCAAGAGACCCACAGTGTTCCTGGACTCCCTCTTTCTGCACACGGACCCATCCAGCTATACAGATCTGTATTCTACCCCTTGATAAAAGTCCAGTGACACAAAGATGCCAAAGGTTATGCCTGGATACCAGAATCTACCAGGAAGTGTGGCACACACCTCCAACACAGTGACACGCACAGGACAGGAGGGGCAGGGGCTCCAAGTCAGGCTGAAGCTGGAGCCTGCGTCGGCCCTACTTCACAGAATTTGCCACTGATTCTGTCAGTGCCTCATTGAGGAAGGGGCTGCACCATCCCTCCTCGAAAGCAAAAAACACCTCCATTCAAATAAAACCACTGTGGACAAACCTGTTCCCATTTCGCTTTGTAATAAATACTCACAGGTATGTGTGTGAGAACAGAGTCCTAGGCAAAGTCACATGTAAACACAACACTAGGCGGCAAAACTCCAGGAGCTGATACAAGAACTAATCAGTACAGTCCTTCCTTGAATCACCAGGTTCAGAGGTCAGAGGCTTTGAGTCCAAAGTCTCTTTTCCAACATGTCTTAGATATTCTCTTAAAATTTTTTAAAAAATATTTATTTTGTGTTCATGAGTGTATATGTATGTGCCGTGCATGCATGTGGAGGTCAGAGGACAGCTTTCAGGAATCAGGTCTCTCTTTCCACCACATGGATCCTGGGACTCAAACTCAGGTCATCAGCCTTGGCAGCAGTGCCTTTATCGACGGAGCCATCTCTCCCACCACAGGATTTCTGCTTCACCTTGGAGTTCTCTGTATTCATTCATCTGTGCTATGAACAATTTGAGATTATTTCTAGGACTTAAACCCATTCTCAGAAGACAAGGATTTCTCACCACAAGGGGACTCAAAGAAACATGCAGACCTTGGAGGCCGCTTTTCCAGGAAAGTTCACAACTATTTCTATGGCTGGGAAGCTCTGTGACCCTCCTAAAGAGACCTCAACGGGTGGAAAATTGGATTTTCTGGATACTAAGAAAAGAAAGCTTGCCTTCTATGGATGTGCTTATACATACACATCATAATATACCATTAAATTACTAAATGAGAAAGGGGTATAAGACTTAAAAGAAAAATACTGCTCACTAGGCTGAGGGCTTCCCTATCTTCTCAGCCTGCCTACCTCCCGTGGAACCACATCACAGGCCATCAGAGGCATATGTATAACAATCCTCACACCACACAAAGGTTAAAACACGATTAGGAAAAAAAAAGAAGGGAGCCCCCCCACACATACACACACATACACACGCACATACACACACACACACACATACACCGTGGCCGTCTCAGCCTTGGGGAGAGTGGCTGCTGGTTGCTTAGTCTCTTGCTTCACCATTTAAGAACATAGGTGAGATCGCATTTCCAATGGCCACAAGACTCCTTTGCTTAACAGGAGCATGAGATCATTCACAGAACACAAACACATTCCGTGTGTTCCAGTGCAGATGGGAAGACTTGTTTGGAGAACACCTGTTGCTTAGCACAGCTCTCTGCAGTCTGCATGTGAACTGTCTGCCTTGAAACCCTTTTACCTCTTCTTGACTGCCTCCCTGGACTCCAGCCTCTCCTGACTGTTCACACGTGTCTCCGGGACTCAGGACTCCAGCCTCTCCTGACTGTTCACACGTGTCTCTGGGACTCAGGGAGGAGTTCTCAGCTCATCAGCACTTGAATGAAGATGCCTCAGCCTCTACATCATGTGGGTATAGTGCTGAGGTCAACCCAGGAGAGAACTAGTAGAAGGCATGGCTTGCCTCTCGGAGGGGCACACGAACCTCTTCTCTGAGTGCCAGCACCACTAGATTCTCTGTCCTGAAATCCACTCCTAGCCCTGATGAGGGAGCTCATGCCTGAGTTCCAAAGAGAAACCCTTGTAGGACTGAAATAGGGCTCCCCCACTCCATGCCCTCCCCCAAATACAAGCTGGGGATGATCAGGGCATGGTGGGAACAACTGAGCTCCATGGTCACCAGTCTTTGGAAAGCAGAGAGAACAATGCTGTGTTCTGCACAGGCCCTGAAGTTTTTGGAAAACACTGTTTTTTTCCTGGCAGCTTAGCTCCATAAACATCCAGATAGTGCTAGTTCTTATATACAGAACCATCTCCTTAGCGACACTTCAGTGGCAGAGACCTGACCTCAACCACTCTTCATGTTCCATGCAGACATCACCACACTGTCCACTCGAGAACAATGCTGGTCAACTGTCACTAAAAGGCACAGTCTTTAATCTTCACCTGAGCCAGGACCTTCAGCCTCTACCATCAGACACCCCTGGGAGAAGAGCTGCAGACCAGGCCTCTGCACAATGAGGAAGGACTTTAGAGCTCATTTGTAGTTGTGTATATAACAGAACACAGACTTCACCCGTGCCTGGTGTCGATGGGCGTTTATAGGAGGTCTGGTTTAGTGCAATCGGGAGAGTAAATGTGGCTTTGCTCCTCTGGGGCTTTGAGGACTAGTTAAAAAGGCCTTAGCCCAGTCTCTGCATATAGCCAGCACTGAAAAAAATCAAACAAAACACCTATCTAGCATCTTCTCAAATTCACATGAGAGCAGATCCTGTGACTTACCTAGAGCCTGGTGGTTGCAGAGCCCTGCAGCTCCTCTGTCCTTCGTGCCCACAAGGCGTCTAGCGATCTAAGGTGGAAGACTGACCTGGCCTGGCAGATCTCCCGTATAAGGAGCACTAAGTTCCCTGAAAACTGCCACATCTGGTCTGTTCTGAAGTACAGAGAGCAGGCTTTGGATGGCTCTTGGCTGCGCTGAGTGACAGGGGAGTTTGGGATGGCTCGGGCACAGCTTGCTTATTTAAATCTCTCCACACCTTCCTTTCTGGTTTGTCTCCAGCATTAACTGGGGACAATATGCCCTTGAGAGAGTCAGTTGCCAGGACTGAACTTAATACCTTGCGAAAAGTGGTCCTCAACCCCACCTGCATCTGTCCTTGAACCCCCACCCTCGGCCCCTCTCTAACTGGCAGATCTCCTACACGTCTTCTCATCCCACAGGGCACAGGGCAAGCTTAGTACTCAGGCTATCAGAGCTCTCAGTTTCCCATTCTGTACGATACTACGATGCTCAGTGTGGGAAGGGAAGAGGAAGGGAGTGGGCGGGTAGCTCCAGACCTGTGCCCACTGTGGAAGGGAGCCGGGGAGGGTCAATCCCACCTCTGTCCTGTCAGATGGCTCAGGAGCCGCTGAAGCCACTGGTTTCCCCTTCCTCCTCCTCTCCTCTCCAGCCTACACTTCTCACTGTCCCTCACCATCTCAACCTGGGGAGGCCGTAACTTATTCAGTTTATATTCCAGAGGCCAGTCCTGGATCATATGACCAAAGCTAAGCTCCTTGAACAGCACCATCTTCAGTGCTGCCTTTCAGAGGTAACTTACCAGCTCACAGACCTACAGATTTCTTTTTTCCTTTAAGGGAAAAGTAGCCATGTGGGAAGAGACCCAGGAAAGCAAATCCTGCTGAGCTGGAGGACAGTTTAGAGCCCTGCAGGGCCATCTACCCCATCAGCCTCTCCTCCTTCCTGAGCCCCTTCCTCCCATGCTCTCCTGGAAGCCAAGGTCCACAGCATTGTACCTGAGCCTTCATCAGGGCAGAGCCCCGCCCCTTCGCACACACTGGCTCATTCCCTTGGCATCACTGCCTCACTTGGGTCAGTCGCCTCCCTGGTGAAACACTGACCACACCGTGTATCTACTGACCAGAGGGGTGACAAAGGAAGTTCACAGCAGGGGTAAAAAGGATCAGGGAAGGCTATGTGCTCACCAAGAGCAATCAAGAGCACAGCTTGGGACACGGGGCACAGGAAACAGGCTCTAGAGTCCCAGATACAGGAAAGTGGTCCAGGGCTGCCTGGTGAGGTGCTAGGTGTGGCCTGGGTAGCTGTGTGACCATCATCGGGTTCCTGAAGCTGTACCTTGAAGTCTTCCTCCAACAGGAAATAGGGGTAAACATCAAGCTCCACACAAGAGACCAGACAGGAGAGAAAATCAAGGCAGAGGCAGGATCAGGATACAAGATGCCATGGACTTAGACTCCTACGCCTCAGCCAGGCTTCCCCAGCTCACAATGAGATTAACAGTTGCAGCCCAGGCCAGCAATGGTGGAAGAAGCAGCCAGGAGAGGCAGCACGAGGCTGGCACAGGTGGAGGAGAGCCAGCACGAGGCTCTGTTCTATTGGGCACCACAGCAAGGATGAGAGTTTCATAAGGAACTCTCCACGTCTCACTAAACTGGAAAAATAAAATAAAGTGAAGGGACAAAACCAGGTAGAGCAGAGACAGAAATAAGCTCAGAGAAGTCAGGTGAATGAGGACCAATGTCATCGTGGCCCATCCTGTGTGAGAAATACAACTGAATCCAGACAAGCAAAGAAGCCGCACACTCCCCAAAACACAAGCCAAACAGCTAAGTAGGTAGCAAAACTGCCTGCTTGGAATTCCCCATCACCCTGGAAGTGTCTCCAAAGGACTCTCTCTCTCTCTCTCTCTCTCTCTCTCTCTCTCTCTCTCAGGACACTCCAGGATGGCACGGCAATATTGTGTTATATCAAGATGGGCTCTACAGATTCCTAGCAGGTTCTTCTTAAAACAAACATGCTAAGAGGCAGAGAATGGGGTTGTTCCAAGGAAGGCCCAGTTTGGGTTTATCTGTTTATAACCCAAGAATGGAGGAGCACAGATTCTTCCCCTAACGAACAATGCCTACAGTGGAAAATTCCGCTCCTGTTTCTTCTTAACGCTGCATCCAGCCTGCAGGTGCATCTTTCCCCCACTCTCCACGCTAAAACTCCATCACATTCTCTTCTCTGCATCACAGACGCCTGCTGCTTAGGTAACATTTACAGACGTGTTCTTTTGAATCTGGAGTTGTCTGTTCACACCAGTCCGGGTTTCACACGTGCTTCCTTCTGGATCTTTCTTCCCCCTCTCTGCCTCTTTTCCTGTCTGTGAGCATGCTGGTGTGAAACTCCACAGGAGTTTAGATGAGCACTTCCATCATCTCTCCATCCGGGAACTCGGGCTTGTGCAGCAAGCTGCTGACGCGGCCTCTGTGGTCTGGTGACTTCCCATGGGCAGGAGAGTTCTCTGCCAAACAGGACAAACATCAACAACCCGTCCCTCAGGAGGTGCCTGGGCTGTCCCAGCACTTTCTATAATGCAACCGTTCCCAACGTCATGGCTCGCTGAGTCTCACACACCACGTGTACATAGGGGGAAGGCCATGATAATCTGACCCTCAGTGGGGCTCTCTTCCCTATGACTCATCCGGTGCTGCCTAAAGCCAGGTACCGGTCACATGTCTCCTGCCTTCCGTTGAAAGGTGCACCCCAAGAATTCTACCTCCAGGACAAGGATGGAGACAAGGAACTGACTGGGAGGAAACACTTCTGTCCCTGAGAACCTCATGCACTCCCAAGCTGTCTTCTGTTGAGCAATTCCAGAGTACCAGCCAAGTGCTGTGCTGCAGTTAACCCGCTGAGCTGTCTACCTCTCCTCCTTCCTCTGAAAGCCCTGACATGCAAATGTGCTGAAGGCAAAGTCCACCATCATGGGGCCCTCGGAACCCAGTGCCCAACACTGGCTCCCAAGGTACTAGACGGAGGGCAAAAATGCAGTGCAGAGGGTCTGTTTCCACCGAATACTGTCAATTTGAGCGGATTAAGAAATGTCTAGGATATTAGTGAGGTACACCTCACACCCTTGGGTGTGACTGAATAAAATGGAGAAAGCCACCCAACACAGAACCCCCTTTCTCTGCTTCCTGGCTGCCCGGAAGGGAGCAAGCAGCCTCATACATATGTCACCACCATGCCACGCCCACCATGATGGACTGTGTCCTCAAGCAGGGGCCACAATAAATCCTTCCTCCCTTAAGTTACTTCCTGTCAGGTTTTTGGCCAGGGCGACAAGGAAAGCACTGGATTCACACCCTTCCTGGGACAGGGAAGGTTAAAACACATGTCACCAGGGTGACTCAAGCTGAGGACTCCACTTACACAGCAACAAATTAATGTGCATACATTTTAGTCCCATAACCACAAGGCGCATGTGCAGCCTGAGGACACTGAAGGCTGAAACAGAAACAGGTGTTGACTGGGCTCCCTGCTCTCTCCAGCTCAGTGAAAGGCTCCCGCTGGGCACCGTAATACACACCTTTGATTCCAGCACTTGGGAGGCAAAGGTAGGTGGATCTCTGTGAGATCAGGCCAGCCTGGTCTACATAGCGTGTTCCAGGCCAACTGGGGCTACAGGGAGACCCTCTCTCAAAACAACCAATCAACCAATCAACCAACCAACCTAGCAACCAACCAACCAAATAAACAAACAAACAAACACAATCCCCTTCCACTCCCCCAAGACTCCTTCCTTCAAACCACATGGTCCCAGGGGATCTCTGAGCTCAGCTGGCCACATACCCAGTTTCTCCACGGTCCCTTTGGCAGCTGGGTGTTTCAGGATGGGGCTGTTGGATGGGGTGGTGCTCAGCCTGCCACGGCTGGGGAGGGAGGCCATGCTAGGCCAGAAAAGCTCGGTGCTCTTGTCGGTCTGCGTGCTGCTGTCCTTGCTGTCTGTCTTGGCGTGGGCGCTGCTAGCTGATGTGGTGGGAGCCGGAGGGGCCAGTGCAGAGGCAGGCGGGGCCAGCAGGGGCACAGACGCCAGCTCCTGGTGCTCCTTCCCCAGCAGCAAACCTGAGGGCGAAACACAGCCCTTCAGTGACAACCTTTGGTATTCTCCTTTCCTTTTGGATGAAAAGCCACACAAGTTCATGTCCTTCCTGACCGTGGAGGACTTACTCATTAAGCACTTAACAGCACTTGTATGCTTGGTAAGATGGGAAGTACTCCTGAGCTAGGTCCCCAGCCCCTGATAATTAAATTCTTTATAGAGTTGGTATTTATATTTTACATCCAAACAACTGAAAACAGACAAATTGAAAACAAACCATGGAAAACCATAGTTGTTCAGCTCAAGCCTGATTGCTTGAGTTCAGTGTTCAGTCCCTGTAATCCATGGTGGAAGGGGAGAGCTGCAGGTTGTCCATGCACGTGCCTGCATCACACATACACACATACATACACACACACACACACACACACACACACACACACAGAAAAAACATAGTATGTATAACTTCTCATAAATTACAGCATTTAAATGTACTAACATGACCAGGAGCTGGCCTGAAGTGTACATCTAAGAAAATCTAGAAGGCTTTCCTGGTCCCACCATGCTCCACTGGCCTCCTGCTCTTTGGCATACTCCTCAGTTCCACCAGACTTTGGTCACAGGCTGGACAGTACCTCCTGGCCCTGGTTCAAAAGCAGATATGCTCCCTGGCTGGAGCAGCCACCGAGCCTGGCATGTTACTTCAAAAAGAGATCTCTGTATGGGGAGCCCTGGCTCCCAAGATGCAGGAAGCCAGTTCGACTTCTGGGAAGAGCCACTTAGCCCTCTCCATCCTGTCCCTGAGAACAGCCAGGGGAAGAGGGCATGGTGACCACAGAAAAGGGGGCACCATGGACAGAGGCGTCCATCGCCCTCAAAGCCCCCCCAGGGAGCTGGACAGGACAGGAACACTTTTTACTTTCAAATGCAATGCACATTCAGAAAATGCCAGCTCTCTAGAACGCTCGCCTACAGGAAAAGTGTAAACACAGCCACACACTGACTTGTCAACTCGCCAGCAATCCATAAGACATCGCTGCCAGGTCATGTCCGGGGACCACTCACAACTCAGGGCACTGCAGTGTCTGCATGCTTCTCGAACTGCAGCGTGTCTACCGATGACGTGGTTATATGTGCAGATTCAGTTCGGCAGCTGGGGCCTGACATTCTGCCTTTCTTTTTTCTTTTGTAGCCCAGGCTGGTCTGAAATTGCCATGTAGCCCAGATGATATTGAACTTCTGATCCTCCTGCCTCTGTCTCTGGAGTCCTGAGATTATAGGTGTGTACCATAATGCCCAGTTTTATGTGGTGCTGGGGATCAAACCCTGAGCTCCATGCTTGCCAGGCGAGGACTCTACCCAAAGAACTACATCCCCAACCTCAGATTTTGCCTTTCTATCAAGCTCCCAGGGACCAAGGTCCTAGAGCACACTTTGAGTAGCAAAGGTCTTTGCCTAGGGGGCTGGAGAAGTGGCTCAGTTGGTAAACTGCTTGCTGCACAAGCACAATGACCTGAGTTTGATCCCCAGCACCCACCTAAAAGGCCAGGTATGGCAGTCTGCACTTGTAATGAGTCAGACACAGGTGGCTCCCTAGAGCTCACTCACCAGCAAGCCTCATCTATTTGTTGAGTCCCAGGTCCCAATGAGAGACCCTGTGTCATAAAACAAGGTGGATGGCTCCTGCGGAAATATGTCTGAGGTAGACCTCTGGCACCCCCATGCATGCAATGCACATATGCACACTCCTGCACATAAACCCCTACATACATAAAGCAGGTCTTTGTCTAAGTGATTCACACAATATTACTGTGAGGAAGTCTTATCTTTCATCTAACAGAGAAGGAAATGGAAACTCAGAAAAACTAGCACCTCACAGAGGAGAAGTCACAGAGGTGAGGCTCTGACCTGGCTGTCCCTGACTTGGAACACAACTCAAGTCCTTCCCACTTCATCTCTGTCTGGGGAGACTCCGGAGCCTGACATGGTGATCTTGGTGGTGGGTGGGTACACACTGGGATGAATAGACTTCTTGGAGCTGCTGAACAATCAGTAGACACTACCGTGTCTGCTGTCTCTCAAGATCCATCAGGCACCAGATGGTGAAAACATGAGGTCCTGTGCCATGAAAGCAGCCTCCTCCCGAGCCCTCGGAGTCTCTCCTGTTTCTGTGACTGGCAGGTGGGCATCAATTACAGTACCATGGAGGTAGACTGGTGCAGACCACACAACAGCTCTCCCTTTAGGCTCATGTCCTCGGCTCCCGGGCCTGGTGTTGACCTGCCAACTGTTGAGATATAGGCCCAGGCACCAGGGACACATGTCTGGCTGCATGTCACATATAGACATTTCCCAGGGAAGTTTCCATTAGCACTGAACAACTTCAGACTCCTTAACCAGATCTGTCTCTCACTGGGCTGGTGCTCAGTGTCCTGGGGATGGTCTCTGATGATCCCAGGTGTTGTCCTCATGAATCCTCTCTGATGAGCAGGGGAAGTAGGGGCCACCAGTGGAAGGACTTCAAACAGACATTCTGGCTGAAACCTTTGAATCCCTCAACTCTGGGTTCATATGGAAGCTCTTATCCCCTGTGGGTCAAAACTCCTCTGGGGTCCTGTGCTGGGGAAAACTGGCTCTGGGCTCAGCAGAGAAACAAAAACACATGCTAAGCCAGGGGCAGGCATCAAAGAAGGGCCAGACCCCTGGAGTCGCCAGCAGGCAGGGGAAGAGGACAGAGGACATGGAGGCTTCCTCTCCAAGTTCCCTGGCCAGCGTGTCAACAAGCCTGCCTTTACTCTAGGATACCACTTCTGCCTGCTAAGACAGGCATCAAAGAAGGGCCAGACCCCTGGAGTCGCCAGCAGGCAGGGGAAGGGGACAGAGGACATGGAGGCTTCCTCTCCAAGTTCCCTGGCCAGCCTGTCAACAAGCCTGCCTTTACTCTAGGATACCACTCCTGCCTGCTAAGACCCCACCTGGGGAATTCCCCACCTGGGGAATTCTTAACATTCTGCAACACAGGATGACCCCTATTCTTCTCCCCACATGCTTTCCCACCATTTCCCTGAGCCCTCTTCACATCCCATGGGCAAAGTGGGGCAGACGCTGTCCTTGAGACAGACACACAGCAGAGCAGTCACACATGTGGTCCAGCACGGAGCCACGTTCACAGGCTCATGCCTCTGGCCTCATTCCGTGGGACACTCTGCTGTTCCTGCCAACAATACTAAGAAGACTCAACCAAGTCCAAGGGCCGCTCCACTGGCATAGCCTTTGGAATTTGCGTCCACAAATCTCAATTTCCACAACCCACTATGACAGCCTTCCTTGCTGTTTTAAAGATGCGTAAACCTCAATGAGGTGGCTTTCCCAGGAGTGGCAGGAAGGTCACCTGTCAGAGCTTTCCAAGGCCTGGTCTTACCTATGCTTCCCTTCCAGATCTTCTCTTCCTTCTTCTCCTCTGCCAGTTGACTGCTGGTAAGCGAGGTCTGGCGCGAATGTGTCCCAGTGGCTGCAGCGATGGACGGGACAGAGCGGGCAGGCCGTAGGCTGGAAGAGTCTGTTTTCCCAGCGTCCTTACGGGACCTCTGCTGAAGGACCTTTATCATGGCATCCTTCTCTATGATTTTGGCATGGAGGTTTTTAATACTATAAAACAAAACAAAAACAAAAGTGTGGTTAAAATGCCATTTTGGTTAGAAAAATCTGAAACACTTCTCTAAGGCCATTCGAGGGACTTTAATAGTGATTCAGAGATGCGGGGTCAGTGTGCAGAAACGTCCAGATATTTACAGTCTACAAGTTGTGCAAGGTGTGTCTTCCACTAGAGGTCAGAAGGGTGCACCCTCTGCTGCCTCAGGAATGGCCATCTACCAGGGACTCCCTGAGCTAATCTGCTTGAGTCTCAAATAGGGTAACACTAGGGAAGCAGGGAAGCTGTGGTCCTAAACAAGGTAAGCTTCTAACTAGTCAATCTCTCAATTTTCCATAGAGAAAAAAAAAGAAATGGACAGGTCCTGTAGAGGATGACTCCCTCCCATGATGACCAAGGATGAGAAGCAGTAAGTTCAAGTTCCTTTCATAACTGATGGGAACTTGCCAAGTCAACTGATGATTTAATCAGGCACAGCCCACAGGCCTCTCATCAAAACTCCTGCTGGAAACTGTGTGGCTGTCAGAGGGTCTCACAGTGGCTGTCTAAGCTCTTCAGCCCTGGCAGGAATAGTTAACTCTGGCTCCAAAGCTCTGGACCTTCTTTGTCCAACTCAAGATGGCCTGGAGGTTGTAGAGACAAGTGCCCAGAACTAACATGGGCATCTCAAGTCTCCACTCATTGGGCAGCCTCAGTCTTACCCCCTGTCGTGCTACTGTGTGGAGCCACTTGCTTAGGTATAAAACCACTTACTCCCTTCCCTCCAGGGCAGAGGGGTCCCTCGATCCCTCGGAACAGGGGGAAAGTGTGCCCGAGTAGAGGGGCTGGGACCAGTGTGCAGCCACAGCTTGTGTCTCCACCCTGGTCTGGCGGCGAGCAGCTGCATAAGGCAGTCCCTTACGTGTGCTCCATGTCCTGACACCTCCTGTTGGCCTGCACCACCTCCTCCTCCTCCTGCCAGATGTGGGCCTCCAGCGAGCTCTCTCCGTAGCTGCCATTCCTCGAGTGGTTGATGATGGTGGTATCCCTGGGAACAGAAGATAGACCCTGAGTCTCAAGCCTTCCTTCTTGGTTTTCAATACAAACAGACTCAGAATGGAGGGGAGGGGTTTGCTTTAGAACACCTTCCACTGGAACCTAACAGCCCTCCACCCCCACTTCCCCAGCTCAATCTCAGCAAGACGCCAGGATCAGGAATGGTGTAAAAGCTTGGGGAGAAGTGACCGAAGGGTACCATTCTGGACATGTCCCTAGAAGCTGCCAGCTCTCTCCTAAATCTTGGCCCAATTCTCTTTCCAAACGTGAATCAAGCTGTATGTAAGGGCTGCACTTGTGGGCTTTCTTGATCAGTGCAGCACTTACCCCCCACCAAATATGCTTCTCCCTGCAGAATGGAGGTTTTTACAGAGACCCACAACCGGTCAAAGTGCAGAAATAAGTGACTGTGGGGTGCTCATCCTCAGCCGGGACTTCTGTTACACAACCCCTACACCAGGGTTCAGGGTACATGGAGGAAGAGGGACAGAAAGATCGTAAGAGCCAGAGGACCTGGAAGACTGCAGCAATGCCATCTTCCGGACACGGCAAGGGTGCCACACCCATAAACACTCAGCTGCCATGGCTACTTGCACGAGACTTACACAAGACCACACCAGTCAACATTCCAACGTGGGTAGGGGAAGAGCCCACAAGATCCTGTCCCTAGTGAGGAACTATGGGCAGTCTATGGCTACTGCAGGAGAGAGTCACGTTCCGTTAGGGATGCGTCCCCTGGCAGGTTGCCCACGACCCAGTGGTCAGCCCTACACTCATGTGATTATGGACAACATGAATTGGACTTGGCAGGACATAAAGATATATGACACATACACAGGATGGTGTGTGTGTGTGTGTGTGTGTGTGTGTGTGTATGTGTGTGTGTTTAATTACATATGACAGAAGAGTAGGATATGAATTTGAGAAGAGGATTTGCAGATGAGACCAGGAAGAGTTGATGGGGGGGGGGCTGAAGGATGGATAAAATCAAAATGCATTATACTCATATGTGAAATTCTAAAAAAAAATCCCCTATTTATTCTAACAGTGCTGTACTAAGTTATGTAGAGCGTTTTGACTGTGGATGGTGCCTGCAGGTTTAATCCACTAACATATGGAAACTATCACCATGTGTTTGCCGATGATCTTTTTATATTTTATTTTATTTTTTTAGCAGAACGTAGGGTGGGAGTTTATTTACAGAAGAGTGGGCATTCCCCATATATGGGTGTGCTGTAAAGTCTACATTCAAATACAGACCCTGTGACCTCCCAACACTGCAGAGAGTGGTGAGAGAGGGGCCTCCTGGTTCTCGGCTTCTGTGTCCTTAGCCCCTCCCCCACATGCAGCTAAGGTCGACTGATTGGGTGGGAGGGATAACTGACTCCCCCGTCAACTCCTTGATGAGCGTGGGAAGGCAGTGTGACTAGCTTGCTGGCATAGTGGTTGGAGGACACTTCCAGGTAACACTCCACCCCTTCCTCCGGCTCTTACATTCTTTCAGCCAACCTCTTCTGCAAAAGTCCCTGAGCCCTGGAGGGGGTGGTAGGTGTGGGATGATCTTCCTCCCATTGTGGAAAGGCACTGAACTTTCAGGTCTCTGTATTGTCTGTTTTCCATGGGCTATTGGCCAGTTTCAGTGGGATTCCATCTACACCACATGGAGGCTGGATCCAGGTGCTCTCAGGCAGTCTGCTGTGTTCTCAGTGTCCGAGCCAGATGGAGGCCAGAACAGCCAGTTTCAGGCTGTCTGCTAAAATCTCTTTGCTGGTGATCTTATGCTGTTACTCTTTGTCCCTGCCCTAGCTTACTCTTCCAATCACAGCTGATGTTCTGCCTCTCTATGTCACCCATGTAGTGGCTATGTCAGCACTTTACAGGAAAATGGGGTCCTGTAACTACCTGACACACAGATTGGGCCTCTCAGGAGCGAGGCTTCAGGGTGAAGTCTTGCTACTCATTTGTACTCTGCTCCGCCTTACCAGATGGGCCCTGCCTAGGATGTAAGTCAGTTCACAGTAACAAGCCACAGAAGCTCAGTGGGAGAGGGCGGAGGCAGGGAGTGGCAACAGGGTAGGTGTGAAGGCAGTTTACCTGACCAGGGTCCAAAGAAGCATGGGCTCAAGGGTTCAAGAGAACTATTCCCACACTGCTTTTGCCAAAAGTTGATGAGAGAAGGAAAATAAAATGGCTGAGCAGTCTGTAGATCTCGAGATGAAAGTGCAGCGATGTCTGTGACTATGGGACTATTAAGCCCATAGAAATGCTCTAGCCAAACACTCTCAGTGTTCAATGTCTTATTCTAATACTATACTCACAATGAAAAGCTTAAATCCCTTTTCTGGAACAGCCAATATCAGAGAAAGAGAGAGAGAGAGAGAGAGCGAGGGCGGGGGAGGCAGAACTGCCTCAGTCTCCTGAGTGGCACCACCACCCAAGCTAATTTTTTCTTTCTTTAGCACAGCCCAGTTTCATTTACCTGATAGTAACTTAGAAGATGACAATTGAGCAAATATTAAAGAAATGCCTCTGAAAAATTCAGTGTGTAATTGTATTTTTAGTTCAATTTGTGAATCTTTGAAATTCTTAGATTTTTGATTTTATGTTGCTTAATATAGAATAGTCACGCTTTTTTATTAGTAAATTTTGTTTTGTTTTTGAGACACGGTTTTCTCTATAACCCCAGCTAACCTGAAACTCAGTATGTAGATCAGGCTGGCATTCTGCCTCTGCCTCCCCAGTGCTGGGATTAAGGGAGTGTGCTACCATGCCCAATAGTAAACTTAATTCACATGAAAGAATTAAATATTATGGTATTCTACAAAATCACCAGATTTCTATCTATACAAATAGGAAGATCAAGTCTTTACATATCACCTAAGTAAGAACTTGAATCAGAAAAACAAAGAAAGACAGATTTCTAAACTAAGTGTAATAGCACATGCCTAAAGTCTCAGCATTTGGGGTCGGCCTGCTGGGGCTACAGCGAGACTCTGTCTCAAAACAACAACAACAACAAAAACCAGATGGCAAGTACCTCAAATCCTAAAGGAACATTGCTTTGAAGTTTGTAGAGCTTCAAAACCTTCCCCACATATAAAATATAAGCTCTGTCTTGAAGAACTGTGGCCAGTGGCATCAGGATGAGTAAGGACTGTGTGGCGCAGCA